ACGTACGTACGTACGTACGTAGTACGTACGTACGTACGTACGTACGTACGTACGTACGTAGTAGTGTAGAGTGAGAGAGAGAGAGAGAGAGGAGGAGAGAGAGAGAGGGAGATAGGGAAGAAGGATGGGAGATGGGAACTAGGAGCTCAAGGTGGGAGAACGAGTTGGGAGAAGGATGGAAGCCAGGAGCAGTGTGCGTGAGAGAGAGTTGTCATTGGGACCTTAACGGAGAAGAGCGGGCTTGTGATACAGCGAGAGAGGCACTGCAAGCCAAAAAAGTTCAAGTTCTCGTTGAATTCTTTTGAATGCCAGTTTTGGCATGGAATAGATACGTTTTTTAATTCGTGTAGAAAAAGATAATGTTATCCAAACGCTTCTAGACCCTTGAGAAAATTTTATTGGGTTGTCATCCCAAAAAATGGCAGATCTGCATACATCCAAACTAGACATAAGTATTTAGACATGTTTGTATATGTGTCCGTATGTGCACATTGTATTTGTGCGAGAGAATCTCTATCTAAAGGAGATGAGGATGGTTGGCAAGATGCCATTACCATTTACCAACAGCAAGGTTTGTGTTCCTAAGGTTGTGGATGCTAAGCCCTACGACAGAATTGGGAAGGCAAACTTTGTCCTAAGACACTAAATGAAATTTCTGCTTAGTGGAGTCTTCCGTCCAAAGAAAGGCTTTCATAAGATGTTCAAGGGTGACAATAACAAAGGAAGGGATGAGGAACAAGGACATGAAGTTGTTAGGGAGGTTAGAGGGGTTGGATTTGATGAGGGTGATGCGATCTTAGACGGAGAGAAAACGACCCTTCTAGAGCGCTAACTTCCTTTTTGATGACACGGTCCCAAATGGATTTCCGAGATTTGCCTAGGCATAAAGACCGAGGTATTTAGAGGAAGGAGGCTCAACAATGTACCTAATCTGGGGCCAAGGTCAATGAGCGTATCAAGAGGGACACAACCTCTTGAGAGGTTGGATTAGCAAGGTTAACTTTCATGCTGGGCGCAAGCTCGAAACATTGAAGGAACAACCACAAGTTGCAACCTTTGTGGGAGGCATCTCAGAAACTAAGGGTGTCATCAACATTTAGGTGGGAAATGGACACCCCTAAACATGAGGAATTGAAGCCAAATAGATGACATGCAGAGTAATGGCGAGAGGGATTGTTTGAAGGCTTCAGCCATAATGGAAAAGAGGAAGGGGGATAGAGGGACTCCTTGGCTCAGAACTTGGGAAGAAGAGAAGGGACCCCTAGGCAGCTGTTGAGGAGGATGAAGAGGGAAGAAAAAGAGATGCAGCCGTGGACCCAATTATGTCATCTGTGTCCGAACTCATACAGGTCAAGACTTGTCGAAGGATGTAGCAGTCGTAGTTATAGACCTTTTCCTAGTCTAGTTTGAGTAGAAGAATGTGGGAATGGGAGTGATGATGGTAATGGAGGACCTCATGGGCAATGAGGCCACCATCAAGGATTTGCTAGTATGGACAAAACCACTCCAGGAAGAGATAGCAGAGTGAAGGACCGAGGTCAAGCAGGTGGCAAGGACCTTGGTGAGGATGTTGTAATGTCTCAACCCTTCCCTTCCTTAGGGATTAGAGTTATGATTGTAGCAGTCATTTCTTTGCTAATGATCCCTAGTGGCAAAACTCGAAAGTGAAAGCATGGAAGTTGGGGGATATGGTATCCCAAAACCTATCAAAAAGAGCAATAGGGGAACTATCTAGGCCAGGGACACCATCTTTTCGAGAGGAGGTGATGCTTACAGAATTATCCTGATTCAAAAAGTTACTCTAGTTAGAAGGCTATAAAAGAGAAAGAAAGGGCAAGGGTCATGATCGGGTTGGGGTCATTTTGAAGAGAGAAAAAACTATGGAAGTGGGAGATGGAAGGCCAATGCAATGTCGGTGGGATCGGAGTAAGATTGGTTATCTACTGAGTTATGGTTGATGGTGTTGGTTCTACATTTGCAATTTGCAATCTTGTGCAGGGCCGTGTTCTTGTTATCTGTGAATAGCCACTTGAGTTTTGAGCGCTTGGCTAGTAGATTTCTTCCTTCTTGAGGGGTAGGATATTAAACTTAAGATTCATTCTGGTAGAGGACTTTGAGAGACAAAGGGGGCAAGATTCTTTAAGAGAGTCAACAGCTCGGATATCCTCAAGGTAGGATCATTTG